AAAGCCCAAAATTTACCGCCGATCGACCTTGTGCAGTAAAAGCACATACATACATACATTTGCATATGTGTATGTATGTATGGAATGGGAAGATAATTGTCTCTCGATTTAATAGTTTGTAAATTATGTATGGTTTGCATTGGAGAGTGACTGTCAAATGGGCCTTTATGACTTAATATGACATGTGTAATTCATGTCCCATTTGAAGTTTTTATAGTCTGCAACCCGAAATATTCCAAAGCATGTACATATGTCATATGTACATACATACATACATACATATGTATACAGGTGAAACTTACAATTTTTAAAATAAGCATATGTATGTTCATACATATACAGGTCAAGATGACATAAAAATCATGCAAGTAAAAAAAAAATATCAAAAGTATTAGGAAGTGCACTTGTCACTTTAGTTGTCTAATTAAATAATGCTCTGTATGTACATAGATGCGATTCTGCAATTTGTATTTCGAACCCTAAATCGTTCAAACAATTCTAAGTTGAGGTAGGTCACGCCAATGCTCATATCCCATGCATACACACAAAGACATATGTACACATACGCACATGTAAAGGACAGAGGCATACAAATGCTTCTACAAGTGATATCCCATAATTGTGAGCATCGCATCTGATGCATACACACAATCAAATGTACATATGTATATACATGTATGTATGTAAGTTTGTGAGCACAAAATCGGCCAAATGCAAATGCTGGGCTTTAAAATTACTACAAGCAGCAAGAGTTACGCACACAGGCCACTAATGCTCATGTTTCCAGAGACTGCAAGTGTGTGTGTCTGTGTGCACACTCGTCGCGAAAGCATTTCCATGAGTATCAACGCTTTCATACCCTTCTCACGAATAACCATACAAACGCTTACATTTTGTTTGCATGAGCGTGACAAATGCTTTTATGATTTCGGTATACCCTTCACTCAAGAGGAAAGAGCTGGGATCATCCCGAACAAAATTCAATTTTTGTGCGCTGCTGAGTTCGGTGATTTGAGAGACTAAAGAGAGAGATAGAGTGAGAGAGAGAGTAGGACAAATAGCGCATAGCCTTGCTTCATATAAGAATGGGACCATTTCGTTTGAGCGCTCGCAACGAACTGACTTTGTAGTGTTGTATTTTCACTGCTCGAGCCGTAAGAGACGGAGCCGAGCAACTACGAAGTTGAGTAGTCCCTAATGCACATTTTTTCGGTGGTGAAAAAGTTTGTTCTACATGTCTCATCTATGTGTTCTTTGGTCAGTGGTACAAGTCTGTAGTACTTAAAATGCGTTTTTTACAATTTGGCGGCGAAGGGGCCGTGGTATCCAAAATTTGAAAAAGACAACTGTATAAACACAGTAAATCTGAAATCTCTAGGTCTAAAAGTGTTCAAATTAGGCTGAAAAAAAATCAAAATCAAGTTTCCGATCATTCTGATAAAAAAGTTATCGGATGAGTTATCGAAAAATATGATACACTTGTACTCCGTAAGGTACTCAAGAGTATGCATGCCAAATTTCAGCTCTCTAGCTCTTATAACTTCTGAGATCGACGCACTCATACGGACGGACGGACGGACGGACGGACGGACGGACAGACTGACAGGGCTATATCGATTCAGCTCGTCGTGCTGATCAAGAATATATATACTTTAAGGGGTATGCGAAGATTCCTTCTTCCCGTTACATAGTTTTTCACAAAACCAATTTCCCATTTTCGATGGGTTCAGGGTATAAAAAATGTTCAAAACCTTAAACTAGTTTTAAGCAAACCCTTTTAAATTACCGATGGAAGCATCGATGGTATCGATGTTTTTTTCCATCGCTTCAAAATCCATCGAGTGGGGCCACCATCGATGGATTCCCAACTCTACAAAAAAGAGCTAACAATTAGGAACTGCTTGCGAGTTCAGAAAGGTCGGCTGGCGAAGCAAAAATTTGACCACAAAACAATAAAGCAATAAATTAATATGTAGTTAGTTATAGACTGAGTGAATTTAGATTTTAAGAATGTAAATAATATTTAGGTAATACGACATAATAAATTATAATTATTATCATCTATATATATAAAAGAGAGTTGTGTTTAAAGTGCTCCTCCACGTATAAATCGAGATCTGCTGGATCAATTTTCGTGGTTTTTGATTTTTTGGATTTGTCTCCGCTACGAGTAGGATAGTAGATCTTAAAAATACTGAAAAAATTTGACGAATACTTGAAAAACGCGTTTTTTTTCCTAAAGATTCAAATTTCCATTTATACTCACAGTGATTGATACTAACAGTGACAATTTTCGGTCCTGCTCTCATATTATAGAATAGTATAGAACTAAATAAACAAGTGTAGTCCGTCTGTCTACGGCACAGCCTCAGGCGAACCTGACTATTCATAAACAAAGCACATTTGATACATCTCGAAAGTTCAGGTACTTGTTTGTCTCAAACATAAATTTGTGTAAATTATTTATATTTATATTTCTCGATTGTTTTATGTGGTTTTGTGCGAGGGCATATTCAGTATTACTATTAATAACAAGTAAGAAAGCTCTAGTCGGGACTGCTCGACTACGAACCCTTCGAGCAACTGATATTTCAATAATTATTCGCATATGCACACATACACGCACACACACAGACATACGACGCACGCATAAATACGCATTGGCTGCTTACTCTGGGAACTTAATTGTTTTATAACTTTTCTTGTGTATGGACTTTCTTCAAGAAACTTTCAGATTATGAATATAACATAGATATGCATGTATTTGCCAAAGCAGAAGTCCCTAGTATTTGAAATACGCCTTTTACAAATGTGAGGGTGAGGGGGTGAATTAGAGGTGGGGGGTAAATTTTGACAAGAACCGAAATTGTATATTATTATTATATTGAGTCTAGCTTTAAAGATGTAGCAGATATAAATTTATTACTGGTTTTCGATAATGTTTTTAATCGATAACAAAATAACGGGGTAAGTTATCGATATTTAAAGCAAAACTCGATATGCGCGTGGTATACACGGACCTAGGAAAAAAGTTCAAGTCTCTAGCTCTTATATCTTCTGAGATCGACGCGTTCAAACATACGGACAGACGGACAGACGGACAGGGCCAAATCGACTCAGCTCGTCGCCCTGATCAATAATATATATACTTTGTGGGGTCTGCCACGCCTCCTTCTGCCTGTTACATACTTTTAACAAAACCATTATACCCTGAATTCCCATTTTCAATGGGTTCAGGGTATAAAAAAAAAGCAGCCATATCACTGGATAGCTGCTTAGCAATCTTCTTCAGTTTTAACAAGTAAGAAAGCTCTAGTCGAGACTACTCGACTACGAGATCCCCTGAACCCTTGGAGTAATAGCTATTTCAATAATTTTTCGCGTCTTTCAGCTTACACAAGAAACACGCACACACACACACACACGCACGCACACACACACAGGCATACATACACACACATACATACACACACACACACACACACACACACACACACACACACACACACACACACACACACACACACACACACACACACACACACACACACATACACAAACAATTACATACATATACACACACAAGCATAAACACGCATGGTCGCAGTGTGCGCTTACTATGAGAAATTAATTGTTTAATAAGTTTTTTGTGGACTTACGATCTTCATGAAACTTTTAGAATATGATTATAACATGGATATGCATGTATTTGCCAAAGCACAAGTCTCTAGTATTTGAAATACGCCTTTTACAAAAGTGTGGGTGAGGGGGGTGAATATAGTGGTGGGGGTTAATTTTAACAAAAACCGAAATTGTATAAATTGCATATAAGCATACATTAAAAATTTGGAGCTTCTAACAATAAAGATATAGAAGATATAATTTTATAACTGGTTTTCGATAAGGTTTTTTATCGATAAAAAAAAGATCGGGATGAGTTATCGATTTTTAATGATAAATTTGATATCCGCGCTGTAATTACGGACATTTAAAAAACATTTAAATTCTCTAGCTCTTATATCTTCTGGAATCGACGCGTTCATACATACGGACAGACGGACAGACGGACGGACACACAGACGGACAGGGCCAAATCGACTCAGCTCGTCACTCTGATCAAGTATATACATATATTCTTTGTGGGGTCTGCCACGCCTCCTTCTGCCTGTTACATACATTTCAACAAAACCATTATACCCTGATATACCATTGAAAATGGGCTTAGGGTACAAAAAGTACGTGTATGTGTCAAAACACAAGTCTCTAGTATTTGAAATACGCCTTTACAAAGGTTATGGTGAGGGGGTGATATAGGGGTGGGATGTAAATTTAAACAAAAATCGAAATTCTATAAAATACATCTAAACCTACATTTAAAATTTGGAGACTTGAGCTCTAAAGATGTAGGAGATATAATTTTATAACTGATTTTCGATTAGGTTTTTTATCGATAAAAAATAACGGGATAAGTTCACGATTATTAAATTTCCATAGTAAGCACACACTGCAGTCCATGCGTACTTATGCGTGCATACTTATATGTGTCTGTGTGTTTGTTTCTTGTGTAAGCAGAAAGACGCGAGTAATTATTAAAATATCAATTCTTACAAGGGTTCAGGGGATTTCGATTTTTTGTAGAGCTTTCTTACTTCTTTTAACATGAAATTGCTGCTTTCGAAAGGCTTTCGAGGTAATTCCATTATATTATTAGTTACTTTATTGTAAGATAATAATGTTACTGATTGACCACTTTTAAGGTAATTACTGAAACTAGCTATATACTTGGCCGATCTCTGATGAAGTGCCCGTCAAGCTTCAAGCGGGATAACATAGTCAAATCTGAAAATATGACGTCACAATAGATCTGTTAGTTAACATTAAAAGTAACGGAACTGCTCTTTGCGCAACCTACTTTGTCTTTTAACACTGTGTGAGTGTGACATAATTATATACTATCGGCTCATTCAGGGCAGGGCATTAATTTATTAGTCAAGTTGACAAGCGGTCACCATACACGAGGCATGTCGGGAATACAGTAAAAATGACCCCCATATCAACAACCTCGGTACGCCCCTGTATGTATGTATAAGCAATATAAAACAGAGTAGCATGTCTTAATCAGAATTGATTGTTAAATGACGAGCCAGTAAGTTACGTTTTTCAGCGCTATTCCAAACAGAAATTTGATTTTGTTATTCATGTTTGTTGTTACCATGTTTAACATCAACCAAAGCAAAAAATTAGTTATACTAGACTGTGATGGTGGGAGTGACGATGCTTGGGCACTACTTCTACTTCTTCGCGCCGAGGAGTGCGGTATATTACAACTTTTGGCGGTAACCACAAACGGTTGTGGTAATACAACGTGCGAAAATGCCGCACGTAACATGAGACGTATACTGATGGCTTGCTCCAGAAAGGATGTAAGTACATGAAACTATCAAACAAATTGACAGTGATCTAATCATAGTACAGTCGACTCTCGTTATTTGAAACCTGCGATATTTCGAACCTCTCAAATATTCGATACTTCTTAATATTTTAAGGGTCCTTTGAATTTCGAAATTACGAGGGACAACTGTATACATACTGTATGCCTTGCAAATATTGTAAACCCCGCGTCGGACAGTGTGTATTCCATTTCTTCTATCACTAACACCGGATACGTAGTGTAAAGCTTTTTGCAATTTTTATACCCTAAACCCATTTTCAATGGGAAATCAGGGTATAATGGTTTTGTTGAAATGTATGTAACAGGCAGAAGGAGGCGTGGCAGACCCCACAAAGTATATATATTCTTGATCAGGGCGACGAGCTGAGTTGATTTGGCCCTGTCCGTCTGTCTGTCCGTCTGTCCGTCCGTCCGTCTGTCCGTATGTATGAACGCGTCGATTTCAGAAGATATAAGAGCTAGAGACTTCAAATTTTTTTTTAAAATGTTCGTAATTACACCGCGCATATCAAGTTTATCATTAAAAATCGATAACTCATCCCGATCTTTTTTTATCGATAAAAAACCTTATCGAAAACCAGTTATAAAATTATATCTTCTACACCTTTATTGCTAGAGTCTCCAAATTTTTAATGTATGCCTATATGCAATTTATACAATTTCGCTTTTTGTTAAAATTTACCCCCCACCCTTAAATTCACCCCCTCACCCTCACTTTTGTAAAAAGCGTATTTCAAATACTAGAGACTTGTGCTTTGGCAATTACATGCATATCCACGTCATAATCATAATCTGAAAGTTTCATGAATATCGTACGTCCACAAAAAAGTTATTAAGCAATTAAGTTCTCATAGTAAGCGCTCACTGCCGCCCATGCGTGTTTATGCTTGTGTGTGTATATGTATGTAATTGTTTGTGTATGTGTGTGTATGTGTGTATGTATGTGTGTGTATGTATGCCTGTGTGTGCGTGTTTCTTGTGTAAGCTGAAAGACGCGAAAAATTATTGAAATAGCTATTACTCCAAGGGTTCAGGGGATCTCGTAGTCGAGTAGTCGCGACTAGAGCTTTCTTACTTGTTTTTTCGAGCATTGCGTCCCACACAACTCCGTATTTGCACGGCTCTTCACTTTTAGTTTCGGGCTACGCAAATATACGAAAGCATAATCATACCGCTTCATGCGCTCGACCGAGATGTTCGACTGTTATACAAAATATCACCTATTCCCAATGTTCCCTTGCTCTCACTCTCTAGATGCTCTCTGCTCTCTCATGTATGCACGAAAATTGAAGTTTATAGCATACTGTAAGTATGCGAAAACATTTTCTTTATGCGCACCAACGCTTTAAATAAATAAATACCCTTCCCAAATTTAATAACGAAAACGATAACATTTTGCATGAGCATGGCAAACGATTTGAAGAGTTAGGTATACTCTTCACACAGAAGGAAAGAACGGGAGTTCTTCGTGAGCTGCTGCTTGTGCTCACATGCATATATGCATATACATATTTGAGAAAGCAGAGAGTATCGAGAGAGAGATAGAGCAAGGGAAACATTCACCGTAGAGGCATATTTTGTTCAATAGTCGACCATCTCGGCCGAGCGCATGAAGAGAAACGATTTCGTATTCCCATATTTTCGTAGCCCGAACCTAAAAGGGAGGAGCTGAGCAACTACGAAGTGGTCTGGGAACTAACGCTCGAAAAAAAGTGTGCGAAACGCTTTACACTACTTGTCCGGTAAATGTGTTATATCACTGACCAAAGAACACATAGACGAGACATGTAAAACAAACTTTTTCAACGCCGAAAAATGTGCATTAGGTACTACTCAACTTTGTATTTGCTCGGCTCCGTCTCTTGAGGCTCGAGCAGTGAAAATACAACACTACAAAGTCAGTTCGTTGCGAGCGCTCAAACGAAATGGTCCCATTCTTATTGAAGCGCAGCTAGTCGCTATTTGTCTTACTCTCTCACACTCTACAACAAAAATATAATCTAGAAATTCTAAAATACAGTCTAAAACAAGTAAGAAAGCTCTAGTCGAGACTGCTCGACTACGAGATCCCCTGAGCCCTTCAAGCAATAGCTATATCAATTATTTTTCACGTCTTTCTTCTTACACAAGACATACGCACACACCCACAAAAACACACACACGCATACACACACATACACATACACGCACCCACGCCTAAACACTCATGGGCTGTAGTGTGCACTTACTATGAGAACTTAATTGTTTAATAACTTTTCTCGTGAAATGGTATATAAGTATACATTAATGTAGGAGATATAATTTTATAACTGATTTTCGATAAGGATTTTTATCGATAAAAAAATATCGGGAGCAGTTAATGATTTTTAAAGCAAAACTCGATATCCGCGTGGTATACACGGACATTTTACAACAAAATTAAGGTCTCTAGCTCTTATATCTTCTGAAATTGACGCGTTCAAACATACTGACAGACGGACAGAGCTAAATCAACTCAGCTCGTCGCTGATCAAGAATATATACACTTTGTGGGGTCTGCCCCTTACATACATTTCAACGAAACCATTATACCCTGATTTCCCATTGAAAATGGGTTCAGGGTATAACAAGTAAGAGCTTTCTTATAGAATAGATTCCTTGAACCCTTCGAGCAACTGATATTTCAATAATTATTTGCATATGCACAGACACACGAAGGCATATGCACGCAACCATTAACACGCATTGGTTGCTAGTACTTAGTATTTAAAATACGCCCTTTACAAACATAGTGGATATTGGGGTGGGAGGTAAGTTTAAATAAAAATCGTACATATGAATCTACATTTAAAACTGTAGCTGTAGTTCTGTAGCTCTGAAGTTGTAGCAGATATACATTTATTAGTGATTCTCGATGCTTTAATCGATAACAAAATAACGAGAGAGTTTTCGATTTACTGCGATATACTCGATATCCGCGCTATATAACGGACATTAAAAAAACAAGTAAGAACGTTGCAGTCGGGCGATACCGATTGCAGAAGACTCATTCACAGCCCAAACGCTGTCAACCAGAGTATATAGTGCAATTTTCAAGTCTAGTGCGCAACAAAAAACAGGGCATGATCCCATTAAAATTGGAAAATCATCGATAGCTATTGCTATGATCATTGCATAATTGCATTCAAATTACATGCATACGTATATAATTTATACAATTTTGACTTTTAATAATATACATGTATTTATATCCATATATTGGATACCGGCTTCAAGCTAGCAGCAGATCAGCGCGATTTTACTATACATGTGCACACACTCATCGTCTATTCTATGCGTACAGACAGAAGCGCGCCTTTTCTCACATTCTTAGAATTTCGATTGATTTCTGGACTTTCCGTTACTGTAGTTTTGTCTGATGACGCTCTCTTATTAAGCTATTCTATTTTAACAGCTGAGTGCTCGAGCAAAGCAATGGCGCGGGTGCTAAGGGCGACGCAAGTAACGTTAGAGTAGGGAGGTTCGAACCTCTACTATGTTTTTTTTTTTTTTTCATACATATTTCGTTTTTTATAAAATAGATATTTTATTGGGAAGGTGCGAGCTTGACTGAATGGCACTTAATACTTTTCATTTTCTTAGTCGAATAATTTTATAAGTTTAAATTTGTTTCTTCTTAAATAGCCCTCAAATACATATATGCAAATACATACATATGTATATATGTAAGTCTGCACGCATAGCATCAAGCATTCCAGCCTTATACACGCGCTCATTTGCATGTGTGTATGTATGCACACATAAATGCGTACTCTAGCATATTCTAAGAATCTCGTTGCGATTGATTTGTCTTTGCATTGTGTTTGAATTTCCAGCCACCACTATGGCTTTTCTTTGCTATGTGGCGTCATAACAATAATGTGATTTCGTTTTAACTAGCGCCGACGATCTTTATTTTAGCTATTTTGACAAAACATGCTGTTTGGGTTGGGTGCGAGTTCAAATCCCGCGGAAAACACTTTTTTGTAAATTGCAAATTTTTGTTATTTTAGCTTTTTTTAAATTTTTTTAAATTCATAAAAATGTTTCCTTTTGTATTATGAATATCTATTAAGCTTATTTATATGTACAAATGCATAAATAGATGGCTGACGCATATAAATGTCGCAATACGGGCACTGTAAATGCCGATTGCCACGCCCCTAGTGGCCGTCGACTCCTCAATTTTAGCCAGTTCTTAGAACGAGCAACCGGATACCTAAATGCAAAATTTGAATTCTTACGCTCAAAAAATGTGAAAATTACAGGGTATTTTTCGATATGCCATGCCCCTAAAGAGGCTTAAGAATTATTTTTGGGGCATCGATAGAGGAGGCTACCAGTAACTTAACTATCCAAATTTGAAGCTTCTAGCTCTTAAACTGTAGGAGATATAAACTTTTGCGGTTTGCCACGCCCCCTATGGGCGGACATATATCTACTATAGCTCGTTAGACTTGGGTGATCAACCCGCGTATATATACCAAATTTCAGATCTCTAGCATCAACAGTGCCTAAAATATAGCAGAATTCGAAAAATCACTATATCTTCAGGTCCGATTTGCCACGCCCCTAAGGGGCGTAGATATAAAATTTTTTTAACCCATCTTCATAGAATTAAAACATTAGCTTACGTGCAAAATTTCAGCATTCTAGGTTTATAACTTTAGGAGATACAGTCTTGTCCGATTTGCCACGCCCCTAATAGGCGGAGATATATCCGCCATAGCTTGTGATCTTGGGTGGTTGGCGCAGACCTACATACCAAATTTCAGCTTTCTAGCTCTTCAACAAACATGATTTCTGGTATATCGGAAAATGCATTTTCCGATTTGCCACGCCCTTAGTGGGCGGATCGGGAAAATTTTAACACTTTATAAATCGGAGATATACACGAGTATGTGTTCCAAATTTCAAGTCTCTAGCTTCAATAGCGCCGAAATAGATTGCGTTCATACGGACAGACGGACAGATGGAAGGACAGCAAGACGGACATTGCACAAAACCAATATACTGATTCACTTTCGTGAATGAGTATAAAAATTTCAAGTTTCTAGTTCTTATATTTTCTGAGATCGACGCGTTTAAAGTTTGAACTTCAAACATACTATATGGGGTCTGCCACGCCTCCTTCTGCCTGTTACATACATTTCAACAAAACCTGATTTCCCATTGAAAATGGGTTCAGGCACTGACCTAAGAACACGACCACTGTGTGGGTATACAATTTCCGCTGCCCGCTGTTTTTGAATTTTTCCCGCAATTGGATTTTAAACAAGTAAGAAGACTCTAGTCGAGACTCCTCGACTAGGGGATACCCTGAACCCTTTCATCTGATATTCTAATCACTCTGCACTTCTTTTCGGCACACATACATACACGCACGTATTAGAACGCGCTCTGGTAACTGCACTGTAAGCAGCGACTGCGCTTGGGCTGCGTGTGGGCAACAATATAAGAATTTATTTGTTGAATAATTTAATTTCTAGACATACAATCTTAATGAAACTTTCAGAGCGTAATCATATGGTGAAATGAAAGGTATGTACATTCCAAAGCACAAGTCTCTAGTACTTGAAATACGCCTTTTACAAAGGTGAGGGTGAGGGAGTGGATATAGAAATTATATAAAATACATCTAAGTCTATATTTAAATTTTGCAAGCTTTAGCTCTAAGGGCGTAGGAGATATAATTAAATAACTAGCTTTCGATAAGGTTTTTTATCGATAATAAAATATCGGGAGTAGCTATCGATATATAGAGAAAAACTCGATATGCGCGTGATATACACGGACCTAGGAAAACAAATTTAAATCGACGAAATCGACGCGTTTAAACATACGGACAGACGGACAAGGCCAAATCAACTCAGCACGTCGCCCTGATCAAGAATATATATACTTTGTGGCGTCTGCCACGCCTCCTTCTGCCTGTTACATACATTTCAACAAAACCATTATACCCTGATTTCCCATTGAAAATGGGTTCAGGGTATAAAAAGCCAGATTTGACGGAAAAAAAAGCTGATTTGGCAACACTAACCAGAGAACACATAGACTAGACATCTACAACAAATTTTTTCAACGACGAAAAAATGCGCTGCAGAGACCTGACAACTTCGTATTTGCTCGGCTCGGTCTTTTGAGGCTCAAGCAGTGAAAAAAGGTCACGACAAAATCAGTGCGTTGCGACCGCTGCCATGAAATTCACACGTTCCCAAATGAAGTGCGGTTATGCGCTCTTTATCCCTTACTCATTCTCTCCCTCTCTTTTTGCTCTCTCTCTATGGTCTCTCAAATAGCAGCAGCGCACAAAAATTGAGAATTGTTCGCGACGATCCCAGCTCTTTCTTTTTGAGTGAAGGGTATACCGAACTCTTAAAAGCGTTTGCCACGCTCATACAAAATGTTAGTGTTCTCATGATTATTTCTAGCATTTGTGTGCCTGAGTACGGAGCTCTTGCTGCCTGTGCAAATTGTAAAGGCCAAAATTTACCGTTGGTCGGTCTCGTGAAGTGAGCACATGAGATGGGATGATAATTGTCTGGCGATTCAGTAGTTTGTCAATTTTGTATGGTTTGAATTGAGCTTTATGAATGAATGAGCCTTTATGACTTAATCAGTAATTTTGGCAATAAAGATAATCTTGATATGTGTATCTCATTTCCACTTGAAGTTTTTATAGTCCACTTGCGGAGTCCACTTTATAGTCCACTTGTCACCGAGCCGAGCAAATACGAAGTTGTCTGGTCTCTTCAGCGCAATTTTTCGTCGTTGAAAAAATTAGTTCTAGATGTCTAGTCTATGTGTTCTCTGGTTAGCGACAAATTAATGACATCTTATATTAAAATTTGCTTTTGTTGCTTAGGTACCAATTTATATGGGTGCAGTTGAACCTCTTGCTGGTTATGTTGATGCTGATAGGAAGTTATTCCATGGACGAGATGGATTCGGTGATTGCTTAAATGATGAAAACGGTTCGCATGTGTCCAGCTATGTGCAACCACAACATGCAGTTGTGGCCATACACAAGTTTTGCAAGGATCGACCTCAACAAATCACTATAATTTCGGTGGGGCCACTTACTAATTTGGCACTTGGCTACACTATGTATGGTGAATACTTTGGAAAATGTATCAAAGATATTTACATTATGGGTGGAAACTATCAAGGAGTCGGAAACTCATCACGATCCGCAGAGTTTAATTTCCATTCAGATCCAGAGGCTGCACATGCTGTGTTATTAAAAACCCGATGTCCAATTACTATACTGCCATGGGAACCGTGCACCAAAGAACGTTTCAACATACCTATTGTAAGTAGCAAAATTTCAATGAATGTTGCCTACGTTCTTTTTTACATATTTTAATATTAATAAGTTTTTCTTAGGACTGGCGACTGTATGAGTTTGGCAAATGTGCTACTGCTCACAAACATCATGCAATAGATATACTTAACAAAGTAGAAAACTCACAGTATGAGATCGATAATTGGAATCCCTGTGATGCTTTGTTAGTAGCTGCATGTCTTTTTGACAAGCAGTTTATTAAAAAGTCTAGTACTTGGCACGCTACCGTTGATCTTACAGGAACACACACTCGAGGCCAAATGGTTCTAGACCATTTAAGGGAATGTAAAAAGTTTCCAGAGAATGTTCGCATAATTGAATTTGTTGACGATGAATTTTTTAAACATATAGTAGAGTGGGTAGCTGGATTGCGTGTTACCTTAGACTAAAAATAAATAATAATAATATAGAACCTCTAACATCAAGACTAGCAAGGCTAAAAGGAATAATTTAATTTATCTATATAAAACATGTAAGTTGTAACCCTCGCTTTCCAAACCGAGTATATGTAAACTATAAAGCCGTTGTCAATAAAGTGTCAGTTGTCAATAAAGTGTTTTGTTTAATCATTTCTAAATTTAATTAACGTAACCATTAGAGAAAGATTTGAAAACTAAATGAAGTTTAACAAGTATGAAAGCTCTAGTCGAGACTGCTCGACTACGAGATCCCCTGAACCCTTCGAGCAACGGATATTTCAATAATTATTCACACATGCAACCACACACGCACACACAGACATACGCACGCACGCTTAAACACGCATTGGCTGCAGTGGTGGCTTACTATGAGAACTTAATTGTTTAATAACTTTTCTTGTTGATGTACTTTCTTCATGAAACTCTCAGATTATGATTATAACATGGATATACACGCATTTACTAAAGCACAAGCACTAACCAGAGAACACATAGATTAGACATCTAGAACAAATTTTTTCAACGACGAAAAAATGCGCTGCAGAGACCTGACAACTTCGTATTTGCTCGGTTCGGTCTTTTGAGGCTCAATCAGTGAAAATAAGGCACGACAAAATCACGTGGCAGCGGTCGCAGCGCACACGTTCCCAAATGAAGTGCGGTTATGCGCTCTTTTTCCCTTGCTCACTCTCTCCCTCTCTTTATGCTCTTTCTCTCTATGGTCTCTCAAATAGTAGCAGTGAAGGGTATACCGAACTCTTAAAAGCGTTTGCCACGCTCATACAAAATATTAGCGTTTTCATGATTATTTCTAGGAAGGGTATGAAAGCGTTGAGGCGCATAAAGAATATGATTTCGCGACGGGCATGCACACACACACGCTTGCAGTCCCTTGCTTGAGCATTTGTGTGCCAGTGCACATTGGGCCAGCGAGCCGATTTTTCGACGAAAATTAATGTTATAAAGCTAGGTTCTTGAAATTCGGTACATATGATAGTGTCGATGCATATAAAAATATATCTAAGTTTCAGACCGATCTGAACACGCCTTCCCTAGCCGCCTTTATGATTTTGGTTTCCTCTTATTGATACTTTACGGTAATTAATATTGCTACCACTCATTAAATTCAACAAATTTTGTAAATTTTTTTTAACCCTTATCTTTAATGTTAATAAGCTATAATAAAAAAAAAACAAGTAAGAAGGCTCCAGTCGAGACTGCTCGACTAGGAGATACCCTGAACCCTCTAAGCTGATATTCTAATCGTTCTGCACTTCTTTTATGCACACATACATACACATGCATCCACACGCACGCATAATCACGCGCTCTGCTAACTGCTCAGCTAGCAGCTACTGCGCTTGGGCTGCGCTGCAGTGTGGGCAATATTATGAGAATTTATTTGTTGAATAATTTCTTTTGTAGACATACAATCTTAATGAAACTTTTAGAGCGTAATTATATGGTTATATATGTGTGTACCTTCCAAAACACAAGTCTCTAGTACTTAAATGAGTTTTTTACAAATTGGGGGAGAAGGGGCGTGGTATCCAAAATCTGTATATTACAAAATCTTTGTATCGATTAACTTTATATACAACACAAATTTGAACACTCCAGGTCTAAATGTGTTCAAATTAGGCTGAAAAAACAAAATAAATTTTTCGATTATTCTCGATAAAAAAGTTATCGGATGATTTATCGAAAAAATAAAGCAAACTCGTACTGCGTATGGTACACACGAGTATGCATTTCAGCTCTCTACCTCTTGTAACTTCTGAGATCGACGCACTCATACGGACGGACGGACGGACGGACAGACGGACAGACGGACAGGGCTATATCGACTCAGCTCGTCGCGCTGATCAGGGATATATATACTTTGTTGGGTCTGCCACGCCTCCTTCTGCCCGTTACATACTTTTTCACAAAACCATTATAGCCTGATTTCCCATTTTCAATGGGTTCAGGGTATAAAAATAAGAATTCATTCAAAATGACTGTTGAAGTGGTGGCGTCGCCGATAAGGAAAAAGACCGGGTTGTAATTTCCTCGTCTTTATTTCTTAGATTAAAGCTGTGTTGCTCGTATAGCATTAGTAAAGATGTATGTCTCGTCAATACCAGGAGAGGCAAGTGAGGCAAGTGGGGCGAAGTCCCCAGCGGGGCGCTAAGTACCGCGAACCAGTAGGAGAACTGGGTTATGTTATTAACAGAATGCTGTTAACAACATAACATTGTGTGGTGCGGGAGGAGCAATTCTTGTTAATGGGATCTGGCATTAACATACTCCCCCTCCTTGCAAGGATTGCAAATTAAGACGTCGTGTCCAAGCTGGAGACCTCTTGCTGTGCGGATCAAGGTCGTCAGCGGAGCTGTGACCGCCTGTTTAGGAGTCGAGGCGGAGAGACGTGCTGATCCCTGGAGATGCAGGAGCGTGTGGTGATTCTGGCCACACGTTTTGCAACGTCCCTTGCTTCGGCAGGATTGCCCGGAGTGCTCGTGAGCCAAGCAGTTCGTACAGTACTTATGTGTAAGTACCGCACGCATCCGCTTCTCCTCTGAAAGGCCCAGAAAACGCTGGCAATTCCGGAGACCGTGGGCTCCTGGGCACACGCGGCACTGGAAGGAATTGGTACCGCGTGGCTTGCTGCTTTCTGATGACGGCGTCTTTATCTGGAAGATCGAATGAGTTGGAGGTAGAATTACTTGCTCGTTAAAACGCAACATGGAGGTTAGTTTGACATCACAAGGAGGACGAGGATCGGGTTGAAATGATGGGCCTGAATGAAGAATAGTATTCAGGCTGTCATTCAGTGCTGGACGGAGAGCATTGAAACCGACCCTCACTTTCGGAGTGGTGCTGCTTGGAGCTCGGAATGGAAGAGCTTCGTCAGATGATACGGTTGGCGGAGACTCAAGTTTCGCCTCTTCCGAAACAGAAACCTGAGTTGTGAAGGAGGAGACCGTTCCTGGTATCATCTGTGAAAGTGGGCCTGTCAGTACCCAACCGAAAACAGTCTCCAGACCTATAAGATGCCCACAAATATTAGGGTGATAACCTCCCTGAATGATAGTCGGAAGGATATCCGCGCCTATCAGGACATCAATTTCCGCACTCTTGTAAAACTCGGGGTCAGCTAGCTGAACTTTCGGAAGTTCGTTTAACAAGAGTTGCGGAACTGGGGACGAAGGGATGTTACCAGCCAGATTTGGAACGACGAGAGCAGAAGCCTTGATTCGCATTCTCGGCTTCAACGGAGAGCCAATATCAAAGTTGCATACCTTGTGTGCCTCAGCTGTCACTGCTTGATTCAGGCCGGAGACCTGAGTATGCACGGACTTGAAGGGAAACTTGATTTTTCGGAACAGTCGCTCAGAAATGAAAGTCGCTTCGGACCCTGAGTCGACTAAAGCACGGGCGGGATAAGTTGCGCCGAAATGGCATATATTAATCACCGCCGTGCCGAGGAGGACACCTCGTGTGTTGGCAGCCAGATACGATTGGACGTTGGACATAACTGGAGTATGAGTCGGAGTTATAGCTGTTGCTGATGCAGCAACGGTCCGAAGAGTATTATCCCTATGGAGTAGGGTGTTATGTCGACCATTGCACGTGAAACAGTTGTAAACACTGATACACTCTCGTACCTGGTGACCTTTAGCGAAACAGTTTAGGCAAAGTTTCTTTGATTTTATGTAAGTCTCTCGTTCATGAATGGATAGTTGAAGAAATTAAGGGCAGAATCGGATTGGATGATTCTCTCTTGAACACAGATCGCACTTTGTGCCGATTGTGTCCACTTGCGTTCTGAACGAGTTCAGTCGTTTGGGAAAGGCAGGGTTCGCAGATCTCGGAGTTGAGTTTGGAACTTTTGGAACCGAACGGTCACCTTCCATAGGCTCAAGAGCACGAGCGCGCTCGCTAAGAAAGTGACTAACGTCCTGCCAGGCTGGGATTTCTGTTTTTCGTGTCAGTGAATGCTCCCAGAGAGATCGAGTTTGTTCCGGCAAATTTGAAGTGCACAGGAACACAAGAATGCAATCCCAATTCTCAGTGGATATCTGAGCATGCTCGATTGCCGTGACACATCTGTGCATAGTGCTATGCAACTCTCTGAGAGCCGAGCCTGACTCCTTGGTGATCTTGGAAAGGTTGAGAAGGATTTTAAGCTGGCTGTTGACTAACAGCCGCTTATTTTCGAACCAATCACACAAAGAGACCCAAGCCGATGCAAAGCCGTCGTTTGTGAGAGGATACTCTGCGACTAGTGCGTTTGCATCGCCTGATGTTTTCGAATTAAGGTGGAATAGCTTTTCCACCGGAGTCAAACACGAATTGTTGATGTAGATCGCAGTAAAAGATCGCGGAATGTAGTCCAGCGCAAGTAGTCGCCGTGGAACACTTCCATGTCAACGGGTGGAAGGCGACAGCCTCCAGACGAGGCGAAAGGAGCGGACATAGGAGCGGGCGGTTTACTCGATGCGGAAAGTGTATCGATTTGCACCCCCAGGTGCGTCGTACACCGCTCATACACAGTATAGCAGTTGTCGAATTTAGCCTCCATGGCTTCAACTTCGCCACTGCTCGACCCTTGGCTCAACGCTCTGGCACAGATCTTATACTGCTGCTCAGCATCATCCCATAATGTCTTGACACGATCTCGGCGGATCTCGAAGGCCCGGAGCTGAGCCGCATGGGTGGCGTTAGAATCTCCGGGACCCTCGATGCGGGCTTCGAATTTAATGAGCCTATCCGCAGCCGCGATGAAATCGGACAAAGACATATCGACTGAACTTGCGGGCTTCGGACTGGACCGGGTAACGACTGGACTGCGCTTGAAAGTGCTGGTGGTCGGTAGTTTCCCGGACGGAATGGGGGATGCGGAAGCACTGCGCTTGATCAGACGCGAAGCTGGTACACTAAGTTGTGCTCGACCCGAACGATCAGACATGGATGCTAACTAGAAGTTAGCTGCTGGAAATTTCTGATATGGAGACAGAAATTCACTCAAAGAACAAAGTAATTCAGTTGACAAGAGCAAGAAAGTTGTCTACTGAACGTAAAGCAAATTAGAAAAGAATTATTGCCTTGTTAAGCAAGTAAAGCGAAAACAAAGAAAAAGAAAAGGTAA